GCACATCCGTTTCGGAAGGTTTAGCGTATACGCAACGCCCCGCTTGGCCACGACCTTAAGAGGCCCGATTAAGTATCAAAGATAGTGGAAACTGCACCTGTGGGAATTTTTTTTGATTTTATTGAGACCAGGTCTCCGACCTCAAAGTCTTCAACATTTTTTCTGTTTTGTTGTGTGCATTTTTTCTGCATGTCTTGGCTTTGAGCCATCGCATCGCGAATGTGTCGAAAGTCACTCAGTCTGGTTGATAGGAAGTCTTCGACTTCTTTACAAACAGTGAAGGAACCGATACTAGCAAGCCGCTCTGCTATTCCTCACTCACCAAGCCTTGAGCCATGAGATGGCGGCGTCAGCGGGACGCGAGAATGAACGAGCCCGTTCACGTAGAGCGGCGAGTAATCGGTAGACGAATATACTGCATTGACCAGAGCAATGACAGCATGGCGATCCAGCGCTTCGGCGTCTCAGCGCAGACTCTGCGAAGGATTCACGCGCTCAGTTTGGCCATCGGTCTACTTATGGTCCACTATTGACATATACAGCTTGGCGTCCAGCAGCTTGATGATCGTCGACAATAACTTCCCAGTAAAGCGTGGGTCTCTGTCAGAGACAATTGACTCCGGGAGTCCATGTTGTCGAAAGACACGATTCGCAAACAGCGTCGCTGTGCGCTGCGAGATGAACCATCTTTCTCAAATGGTCGACGAAGATCACGGCACCATGTTGCCCGCCGAGTCCTTCGGCAGGCCAAACACAAGGTCCGTACTCATAGACCGCCAACACCCGGAGGGTACCGGTAAAATTGCCAGTGTCTCCGCCGCATTCGGAGAGGGTTTTATATCCTTTGACACGTCTCACACGTGCGCACATAGGCTCTCGTTCATTTGTATAGCTTGGAACACCAGTAAGGGCAACTCATAGAGCTGTAGGCACGACCGATATGACCACTGAGTGGGGTTTCGCGGCCTCATAGAGGATACGGTACTTTAAATTTTCATCGCGAGAAACCACGATTTGTGGCGTTTCCGTCGAGTCGGTGTTATAATACAGCAAACCGTTATTCAACGAATATCAGTTTAACCGTGCGCGCAATCGCGCCGACATTTTACTGTCCAAGTTTTTAAGCTCTTGCTCCCGTCATCCTGTAGCAGCGCTACACACATACAAATATCCGCGTATGCGGCGCGAATCAAATTCGTCACTGACGTCGCCACCGTCGTGACATGTGCAAGCTTCTCATCCAATTTGCGTGAAAACGCATCAGCCAAACGATTTTGCTTTCCTGGCTTATACTTCACCTCGAAGTCATATTCTGCGAAGGAGGGTCACCTGGCCATCCTCTGCGAGTGGTGAGGTGACTGAGTCGCAGTGTGTAATGAAGCATGATTGTTTAGATCACCAATGGCATTGAGCCAAGCAGATGCACCCTGAACTTGGCAAGTGCAAAATTCATCGCAAGTTATTCTTGTCGTGGACTGGAAAGTTTATCTCCGCAGCCTTAACCTGGCAAGATTTGAACGCAATCACCCGATCTCGCCCCGCGGCGTCTGCTTTCATCAGTGCACAGCCGATAGCAAAGGCCGAAGCGTCACAGACGACAACAAAATGACGATCGGGGGCCAACTACTTGCACAAGTATAGCGCAAATTGTACGGAAATGGCACGACCATTGTCTAATCTTCTTTAAAAGAATACAGAATGGTTTAGAGACACCGAGCATCGGGAGACTTTTGACAGTGTCAAAGACAGCCTCCTTCATGCACCAATATTGGCGTTCCCAGAGAGGCCAAGCCACTTGCGCAAGTTCTTTTGCTTCTTTGGAACCGGCCAGTCCATAATGACCTTGACTTTAGCGGGATCCGCTCGAAGGCAACGCTTCCCAATGAAGCACCCTAAAAAGAAGATTTATTCCGCGCCGAATATGCACTCATCGGCATTATCATACAGCTTATTCGCGCGCATGCACTCAGGTACCGCTCGCAAATGGACGACGTGGTTTTCCACATCTGTACATCCGTGCATCGCACGACTGTGGACGAAGATGTCGTCAAAATGTGTCTGCGCAGACGCCCGACGGAGCCTAAACAATCGCGTCACAAGGCGATCAATGTTGCTGGTACGTTTGACAGCCCTTGAGCATTACAAGCCACTCTCAGAGCATGTTGCTCGTAGTACTCATCGCTGTCAGCGGGATATCACTCGATCTCATGAGCAATTGGTAATACCCATCGACACAGTCGAGTGCACTGTACTTTGTACAGCCATTCATATTGTTCTGGAGAACATCCTTCCTAGGAATCAGCGTGCCAATTTTTAATGTATAGGCTATAACGGAAAATGATCGTGTTTTAGGCTTGATCATCCACGAAATAGTAAGAGTCTCTTTCTCAAAGATGACATCACAGCAAGGGGGGACCAATGTATCTAACTGTGTATGTGATAGAATGGTGGTAGCTTGTAAGCGTGAGCGATACGCCACATGCCATTCGACTTCCGGACACAAAACCTGGGTGTCCAATGGGGAGACTTGCTCTCACGCACCATTCGTGCGTCGTGATTTGCACGGAAAAGGCGTCAATGACGTCACAATGCTCCTAGGGCAGATGCCATCGACGTGTTACGCAGTATCTGGTTCCCGGAACCAAGTTGATCCCGTGACACACACCTCGGTCCGGTGATAGAACCGACGGCGTGTCTTCGAAGACGACGTCATGAATTTCCTTTACCAAAGAATCATACGGATCTGAGGGATCCTTCAGGATTGACGACCCACTTCGTGCGTTCAGCACCCTCTTAGTGTCCGTGTCTTTCGTGTCATAGACACAGGGATCATTGAGCAGAAGATCCTGGGGATGTAGAGGTGTCTTGGACACGCGAGCTTCGTTCGAGGCGACGCTTCAATATATATTGTGGGTGCTCACAATTTTGATGGGGGAGAGAGTGACGGGGTTAAAGTCACCCTGGTACAAGGGCGTCGGTTACACAAGACGGTGAAATACACAATGGTCTGGCTACACCGTAACAAGAAGTCAGTCCGTGGCTGAACTGCCAGTAGTTATGCATTCTAGTATGGTTTTACTATTAATTTAGAAAAACCAATATATTTGGATAGAGGCGGCTTTGCCGCAAATAAAGCCAAGAAATGCATTTTACATTTTAAACGGAAGAGTTCATTTGCCTTGGGCTTGGGTTAAAGTTGTAGTTACGGCGTGGCTACACCGTGAAAAGAAGTCAGTACGCGGTTGGACTGCCAGTAGTTATGCACTTTAATACGGTTTGACGAATTAATTAGAAAAACCTATAAATTTGGATATAGGCGGCTTTGCCGCAAATAAAACTAAGAAATAAAGATTATATTTTGAACGGAAAAGCTCATTGCCTTGGGTTAAGGTTATGGTTACTTTTAAAGTAATCGGATTGCGATCTGCTTCACTTGCCCTGATTCTAAGTATAGAACGAATTTCACCGACCTTAGCTTTGCTTCATCTAAGCGAAAGAGCTGCGGCAGTCCCGCTGCACAGCACTTATGTCACTGACTGTTCAATCCTCGCTGGAACCCCCGAGGACACTAGCCTATTTGGCATGTCTTTTTTTCTAAGAGCAGATAGGTGGACATATCGCTATCTACCTTAACAGCGAGACAGTCGTTTCAAGATACGGCCGTCGAATTGCTACCAACTTCATCTGAATTGCGGTGCACACGCTCAGAGAAGCGTTGTTCGCGTTGATAAACGCAGTGGACGGGCTCGTCCGTTTCACTCAGATGCGAAACCGATAGCTTTTCAGGTACTTCGCGCTCTTATTTTTTACAAGAACCACATAGCTAAGAGTCAGCTCAAAATCCATGCTATATCATCTGCATCTGTGTGCTTTTACAAATATCAAATTCTTTGTACCACACAGCGTGAGTCTAGCACTTAAATATCTCGTTTTCGAAGTCTAGCCCTTTCGTACTGGTACTAAGTCTGACACTGACTTTTAAATTATGTGCTTGCACATTATGGCACTAAGAGCCTTTTTAGCTAGCTTAAATATTTCATACAAAGCTCTTTGATTTAAGCAAGTGGTTTTAGTCCCCTATGCGTTCATCAACGCCAGCTGCAATAGCCAAAGTCGCCTCCAAGTGATGTAGGTGGCAATCTCGTTGTCCAAATCAAGTGATTTATTTTCATGACTCTAATACATATAGACTACAAAGTGACATACACCAAAAGACGAGTACATCCTATAAGGAACCCACTATGATTGCAGATAGTGCGTATTATTGAAAACATATTCAACTCAAGTCTTTCCCTGAGGTAAATTTAAAGATCGTTGCCCGCTGTAATATTGTGTTCGCGATCTATGTCACACAACTTCACCTCATTGTACTAATATATATATGAAGCACACTTACAGCGTTGGCAATTCATTGTTGAATTGCTCGAGAAAGTAGTATGTACCCAGACCAAGGAAAGTACGAAGGAACACACGTGTGCATTCTAATTGCGTATGACACAACGCTGAAAGCATCTTGTTATACTTTATAAAAAGAAAGAGACATCTATGCTAACGATACATTTTCGACTTGAACGCTAGAGCAATTGATCCCCAACTAAGTTTATTGCCAGCCATAATCAACATATCAATACTCAAGATTATGGCACGAAAATAATCGCAATATCATGCACTATCCACTACAGTACACATCGCTTTTACTGAACTCTGAAACAGTGAAGTATATAGTCTCTTCCTATAACATCAATATAACGTAATTTATCGAGCAAATTCGTGAGTCCAGATGGTTATCTATATATCGGTTTTCGTCAGCTGGCGGATGAGAAAGAGTCTCACAACACAATGAACTTATCGCAATATTAAAATACAGTCTAGTCAGCTCCTTGAAAGTTCAGCTCGAAATCGAAAGCCCACGCTCAAGCTTTTTCTATTCACGCTTCTGTACAATCTACCCAGACGCCACATAGATCACCAATTCCGGCGTCAGAGCCAAAGTACACAGCATGGAGTCCGACAACTCCATGTCTGTATTGCTTCCAATGGTGTCCATGATGCTCTTGCTCGTGTTTGGTGGTGGCTTGTGGTTCTTACGCACTCGCAATCAATTTCAAAGTGCGTCGGAGTCTTTTCTTGCCAGGTACGCCTTCGTCAATATGATTTGATTAAATTCGTGCAAACTCACTTATACGCTCTTGTATTTGCTTAGAATGCTTTTACAGGATCAAGAGACGATTACAAGGCTCGATATTGAGCGTGGAGAAGCACAAGCAGAGCGGTGGAAGTGCTCAGTCTGCGAGTTTAGCAATGCCATGGATCGTCCGTCTTGTATGCTGTGTGGCACGAAAAACTCTAAGCGCGAAGATCTTCGGCTTAAACAATCAATAGCAGGACGCGATGAACGCGTAAGCTCTGCAGGTTCCATAACAATGCTCACTAGACCGTCGCTGGTGGCACAGCGGTCGTCCGTTCTTAGTGCTGGTAGTAGACAGTCCTTACGACCGTTGCGTCTGTCGACGCTTAATCCTCGACAAAAATACGCGCGGCGACGCAAAGAGTGGGTCCGATGTCTTGGCGAAGATGGAGATTCGGCGTTCTGGACAAGAGCGGACGCCGCAGCAGCGGCTAGACGATTGACTGTCGTGAGTGGCGCAACTGCCTCTGGTCGCGTGTCAACTGGTTTTGTTACGCACATGGTTCGTCGCTCGTCTATGATGGGAGATCTTGGACGCCTTACGTTTGCAGATGCGTCGCAACTAGACGCAGCCGTGACAATTAGTGGCTATAAACTCACGGCACGAGAATTAGCCTTATTGGATCGTGTATCACGCCTAGCATTTCCAAAGAAATATGCTTGGTTTTTGGAACGGATGGGGGCATTATTGCGACCGTGGGAAGAAGGTCGGATTAAACTACGTGTTAAACGTGAACATATTCTAGTTGAGAGTATGGAACAGTTGTTGGGCATTCAACCGGAACATATCCATTTTCCACTTCGTATAGAATTTGTAGGAGAAGCTGGGATCGATGCCGGCGGATTGCAACGAGAATGGTTTTCTATTTTATTTGGTCGCTTACTCGACGATGAATTGGGGCTCTTTATGACGTGTCACCGCCACACGCAAGCCGTGGCGATCAATCCGCACTCGGAAGACTGCACAGCCGATCACTTGCTATATTTTCGTGGAATTGGTCGACTGCTCGGTCGGGCGCTTCTGGAAGGACAGACCATGCAAGCGCGATTGTGTCTCCCAATGCTCAAACATTTTCTTGGAACACCGATCACGTTTTCTGATTTGCAATACGTCGACCCAGAAGTCTACACGAGTATGGTGTGGATGCGAGATAACGATGGAGTTGACGCTTTAGAGCTCACATTCTGCGTGACCGAGCTGCGTGCCGATGATGAAGTCGTGACAATCGATTTGGTTCCTGAAGGAAGAGACAAGCCTGTGACGGACGCCAATAAACTAGAATTTCTTCATCTGAAGTTGCGATATCTAATGCTCGACCGTTATGCTCCTCAGTTACAAGCTTTGTCACTTGGATTGTTTGAAATAATCCCACAAGAAGCACTGCTGGTCTTTGACTACCAAGAACTGGAACTTGTGCTCTGTGGCTTGCCTGAAATCGATATGGTTGACTGGAAGAGCAACACAGTCGTTGCTCCTAGCTTCAGTGATGCTCCTCAAGTTGTCGACTGGTTTTGGGACATTTTGCAACGATTTACAGAAGACGAACGTGCACGATTCTTACAGTTTTCAACTGGTTCGTCGCGCGTACCTGTACAAGGGTTTAAGGGTTTGACGAGCTACGATGGACGCATCTGTCCCTTCTCGTTAAGACCCTTACCGAATCAAATTCGTGGCTTCCCGAAAGTTCATACGTGCTTCAATCGCGTGGAGCTGCCATTGTATACAAGCAAGACCGAGATGGAGACTGCACTTTACGCAGTGCTTGATATGGAGTGGACAGAGTTTAGCGAAGAGTGAGTTATGTGTGTAAAGTGAAAGTAGTGGATTATTTAAGAATTTGATGGAAGTTTGAAATCCCTTAACCTGAGTCGCTTCCTATGGTGTCAGTTGACATCGCGTCTCGTCTCAGAGCTATTAAATTCTTCTGCAGCTTCCCAGGGCGAATCTTTATTATCTATTGTGAAGCTCTAGTAGATATTAAGCCAGCGGCTCGAGCATCCTGTGGTGCTTTTCGAGGAGCGGTGAGGTAGCCGCAAGTCTTGCTGACAAGGTGAGGCAGTTGATGAACACAATGGCAGAGGCTGGTATGGGAGCCGATGGAGAAACCAATGACTCAAGGACGTACGTACCAAGTCTTTGTCCGGCGGTTGACGAAGAAGAGAAAGAGTACGGGGCGGATGATGAGAAAGATGAAAACGAAATAGACAGCGGATTTGACTTTTATTCAGCGCCTGAATTTACAGTAGCAAGGGAGTTCGATGACGTGAGAATAGAAGATGAGATGAATATGAATAAAACTGTAGTGAAGGTGGAAGAACAACTTAGAGTTGTTCAAGAAACACTGGACGTTGAGCAGTCTACGAAGATAGTGTTGGAAGGAAACACAATGAATGATTCTCTGCAGTCTGAACACGTTTTCGACACTGCACGCACTCCATCAGTGGTGATTGAACACTCGAATTTGTCGACGTCAACAGAAGTAATCTCTCACTACAGTCAAAATTTTAGCTGTGAGGACACTCAATCAGACGATGAGATTCCAGAGGACGTCGCGTTTTCAAGTCAAAATGAAATGGATAAAGAGAAAGCTTGTGATAGAACGGAACATGTGCAAACAAATTTGACAGATAAAGCAAGTCTTACGAAAAGCGGTGAGCAGGAAGAACGGCAAGTCAGAGGTCAAGCACCGTTCGATGCAAAGTTAGAGGATGTAGCAGAATCAAAAGCAGCAATGTCGACGTCAGCGAAGGCATTTTCGCACGGTAGTCACATGTACAGCAGTGAGGACACTGACATAGACATTGAGATCTCAAAGAATGTCGCGTTATCGAGTCAAGGTGAAAGCGAGAAAGAGGAAGCAAGTGATACGACGGAGAATTTACTTTCAAATGATACTAATGAAGTGGACGCTGATAAGAGCGACGGGCATGTAGAATCGCAAGTAGCAGTTTCAGCACTGCTTGATGCGGAGTCGGGGAATGAAACCAAATCAAATTTCTGGCTTGATTCTGTTGCAGCTAAAGAGAAGAAAAATGTGGTCGTTCGGGACTCTGAGGATGATACCCCACTTAGTACGGCTGAAGTTAAATCCCCACTCTCCAAATATGATCAAGAATCTATGAAAGGATCTCAATCTGAGAGCCAAATTGCACAGAGAGAAAATGACCTGCCAAAGGATGAGATAAACACTCCAAAATCTCGCGGAGTCAAGCGAAAAGTAGCTCCTGTGCAGACGCCAAAGCGATCGAAGCGTCTTGCTGTGAGAGCGCGAAAGGAACCATCTCCAGTCTTTCAAAGCGGCAAATTTGGCACGGAATATGCACTTCCGCTACGTCGTTCTTCACGACTAAAATCCGAGCCAAAAGAAATTTATCCTATAAATCCTGTGACTTCTGACACTGCCGACATGCAAGTTATAAAGTCGGAGATAGCGAATAATCGAAAAGCATTAGTACAACTAATGGGTTCGGAGACACTCGCAAACAGCCTTAAGAGCGCGTTTCAAAGTACGCCGTTTGCCGGACATGCATCTATGTCTCGATTTCAAAAGCTGGTACGCAATGATACCACAGGATTGCGAAATTTAAACGTGCAGTTGTTGCTTGATGCCGTGGAGACAACGGATGAGCCTATCGTTCAACTTTCTCCAAAGGTGTCGGGGCCCTGTTGCAGTACAGCGTGTCATGTGCTAGAGTCAGTATCGAGCGCAAAAGCTCGCGATCTTGAGAACTGCCCACTTCGTTTTCCTGCTCCGCCGACAATCGCAAAGCATTTTATCCGCCCATTAGCAACAGAGTTGGGTCTGGAATATGCCATGTCTCGTCATCGTGTAAAGCTAGTGAGTTGTCCCAAGAACGAAACAGTATTGGACTGGCAATTTCATCGGATCGAAACAATTGTCTTTATTTTGCGCGGAAAATCTAAGTGGAGACTAAAATCAAGTCAAGTGCCGTATCCACTTGCGTGTTTTCATCCAACATCATGGCAACTGGACGACGTTGCTGAGATTGCAAAACTTCATCGTCTGGCATCGAATAATTCATCGACATTGGAGTGTTCAGCACCCAGTGAAACTTTTGAGATTTTTGAAGAGAATGCGGCCACTGAAGTTACGAATACAATTCAGGAACATGTGCTGAGATCCGGATCCGTCGTATATATTCCAGCTGGCGTGTGGTTTGAAACAGAGACGCTAGGAACGAATAATATGTGGCTTGAAGTGCAACTGTGCTCAGTAAGTTGGAGAGAATGGATATCATCCGCTGTCATGCAACTCTGTGGAAGCGATGAACAAATGCGAAGAGGAGTGCAATTGTATCCAAGTGATTTCAATCAGATTAACTCGATGAGACACTATGCAGAAAGCTACATCCAGGCTCTATGTCGTGAGATAAACGACCTTGATGGAAAAGACTTATTTCCAGAATATCTTGCCTCTGAAGAAATGCAAAACCTTGTGAAGGAAGGTCTTGTACACGTTACAACAACGCCAGCACTGACAAGCTTTACAGTTGACCTCACGAATCCAAGATTTTCCTTGAAACACGTTCAGGTCTCTCGAGACGCTGCGTATCGTGTCAATCCAATCGCTATTTTATTAAAGACGGAAGAGATTCCACATTTATCACCTCGGGATCAGGTTCTAGCAGAGCACTCGACTCAAAAGTTGCATCGGGCACTGATCAAGACGCCGAAGCCCAAACCAAAGCGCAATCAAACGTTGCATCGGTCACATGGTGGTAAAGTCACGTATGTGCTGGACGAAAACTTTGGTAATGACAAGTGGCAATCATATCTGCATGTAAAGTTTCAGTGCTCGACAGAGCAGTCAAAATTGGTCGAGTACCTCCGAAGTCGTGAGAGTGAGCCGTTTGACTTGAAAGAGTTTTATCGATGCAAAGATATAGATGGCAAACGTCTAGCGCGAGATGCGGAGAGTGCTCAAAATTTGCTACGTTTTCTATATTTTGTCGGGTACGTTACCCAAGTATACGCTCCGTAGCAAAAGGTTAGGAAACCAGACCTATGACATCTATCCAAAAGTTAATATTCTGTGTCACCTTGTATCGTCGAACCTGGTATGATAGTGTTTTTCCGCATAAGAGAAACTAGTTTCTTGGTCTTGAAAGTAACGCGGTGATTTATTAGTTGAATGCCTTCAAAAACATCAAAACTGGCGATGTAGCGAAAGTCTCGTTTCAGCAAAGTAGGGTCTTTTGCTGTTAGCAGATAGTCGAACTGCGTTAAATGATCAATTGTAGTCACTGACTCGTTCTTTGAATATCTGTCCAGTTATGATGAGACACAAATATAATAAAATTGTGCAGAATAGCTGAAAGAAACAAACCTCCAAGCAGCAAATTCCTCTCCAAATCGAGACACACCGGTCATCGCAGCAGGAACGTCAATGTGGACGCTGCGCGGCATTTCACGGTCATTAAAAGCAAAATGGTGCAGATACTTAAATGCCTCTCCACCTAGAAAGAAATTCATATTGTTAGATGTGGCCAGCTTACGACGAAAAATTTAATACCAGGATAATTGGACCGAGCAGCCGAGAGCATAAATAAAGAACCAAAACCCGTCAATACTAGGCAAAAAATGGCTCCAACAAAAGGAAGATATGCCTACAAGTAGAAGAAACGTGGCCACGTTACATAACAAGTCAACAGAAGAGGTACAACAGCCAGATACCTTATTCTTGTTGCGATACAGCTTAGCTAATCCCTATAGCGTGAAATCAGCAAACTGTCAAGTCATGTGGATTTTTCAACACAAACATACTATACATACCACAGCCGACACCATATTGATAATGGGGATTGCATTAAAGATAAAGCGCAGTTCTTTGTGAGGAAGGAGCGAGAACAGCCCCAGGTAAATGAAAACGGGCCACGCCAATGTAACCACACTCCAATCAAAAATCGGTGCCGTTTTAAGCGCCCACCTCACGGCATTCAGCGAACGACTTTGCAAAAGCATTGGAAAGAGTGTACTATCGTACGAGATCCAAAATCAGTATACAGAGTAAACGGTGTCCGATACTTTGACTGTAACTGAAACAAACCTGAGACCGACGGGAATCAGCAACAATGTCCACTGAAGGGCTCGCGGCAGAGCTGATGTATAGTACCATAATGGCGGACTCACACCCCACTCGCTGCTTCTATTCTCAATCGTGTTAAACCACAATACTTCACCCTCTGGCCAAAGCCACCGCTTCCAGAAAAAGGAATCAATTGTGACAGTGATAAAAAGCGACACGATTCCCGCTAATAATCCCCACTTGACAATCTGAAAGACAGATATATGACGCGACAGCAACATGCTGAGCACTAATGGTGCAAACAGCAGTACAGTGTCTCCTCGAAACACTACTGTCGCAAACGTGAAGAGAGAAATTGTATAGGGCAATTTTCTCTAAGACCTCCAAAAGGCGTGAGAATGATCATTTTGACTTAAAATTCATCAAACGTACCCGAAGCCAAAAGCCGAGTCCAAACAATACTAAAGCCTACATCACGACGTTAAATAATGTTATATCTACTTTGTTCGATATTTAATTCTTCGTACCAGTGCGTACACATTAGGTAGAGTGCGTGTCATGTAGAACAGAAGATGGAATTGACATGCGCAAATCAGTAGCAAAAACCGACTGACATCTCGTCCATAGCGCATTCCAACGCTGTCACTGAAGAAGAATAGACCGCTTAACGTCATTAGCCCCAACACCCAGCGTGTCACCAATTGCATATAGAATTTTGGAGCTTTCACTAGTTGAAAAAGCCACAAGGCAGGTTGACTTATACTCGCTACTGCGAGCGAACCAAGAAAGGTGCGTGGTACGACGCCAGGAAATTCTAAATGATCAAATTTATTCACGTTCGGCAGTCCAAAGAGCAATAGATCATGTGTTGCTTGCATGTTGAAGCTTTCTTCCACTTTTGAATAGGGGCATGTGAACAGATATACCGTCATGACAAAAGCCACCACGACTTCAGCCCGGCGGCCACGCATTAGCAGCTGCGTCATTTGACGTAAGTACTCGTGTGGAAAAGATATGCAGTCTATTGGACAATATGATTAAAATGACGCACAATTCCATGATAAGTAAAAGATGTGATAAGGTAAAGCTAAGCTACTCGCCATCTTTTCCAGAAGTCAAGAGCATGTTTATCTTGTTTAGTAATAAGCTGAAGTTCACTTTTATGGTTACGCTATGCCTTCCTATCGTGCGTCTTATTATGGGAAAGCATGTAGAATGTCTAAGAAAACGACAAGTTTACATCTTTTGACTATTTTTTTAACGTTGCATTTAAATGGTTAAGTCTGTGACTACGGTTTAATGTCTTCGTCGACGTTAGGAGAGTCGCGACTGCCTGTCTTGTTGGTGACGGGAATACTGGCGACAAACTTTTTTAGCGATTCCCCCATAATGTACTGGCCAGTCGCTTTGTTGAGCTCTTTGTCCTCACAAAAGCACAACAAAATGGTGTCGATTGCCATTTCGTAGACGTCAAGACAAGTAGAAGCCACAAACCATCCTAAAAGAAATGCCACTAAAATTGGAGCCAGAGGCGACGACAATTCGTGAGCTCCACCGATTCCATAATCGTCAGTATTTTTCTCTAAATAGACAAACGTGACAATGGCGCAGCTCAGTGCAATGGCCACTTTGCCAGCACCTAATAGTAGAAAGGTGACAGTCGATACGACACCAACTTGTGCAACGTTAAGTAGTAAGACCTTAAATGCATCTTTAGTTGACACGCAAAAGCTGTGACCTTTCATTGCGATGAAAATATATGCGTTTTTCGAAAGAAAGCGAAGACACTTTTCCAGACACCACAAGCAGCATTGCACAATTTTCATTACGACTTTAAGAAAAAGATTTGATTCTTGGAGGTCCTTTGTTTGATGATCGATATACAACAGCACAGCGCGAATGAATTGCACCACAGCAATAATAAAAGCTCCAAATGCCAGAGATCCAAAGTGGTACCGAAAACAGTTTTTGAACGACGTTAAAACAGGAAAGCGACCCATTTCGTCACTTGTTTTGTTACGACTCCAATAGTAGCGACACACTGAACCGGCAATTGTGCACATGCTGATAGCATTAATAAGCTGAGCTGTCCATAAGAAGCCAAAAAAATGATACGCTACCAGCAGCTGCATTGTCTGGTCTGATTTCACTCTTGTCAAAATTGTCGTGACATTCGTAGGTACACTTTGCCCAGCTTGGTCCGCAAGTTCTCCAGCCAGTGAAGCCAATTCCATCTCTCCAGAACTGTAGATAAAAGCTCCAACAATTGTTGCATATGCAAACAGAATAAGGAGCATCACAATTGGAACTATCGGGAACAACACCAAAAAAGGCAGCCGCTGCAGTGCGCGTGAGGCCTCTTTTACGATACCTACTGCAAGACGAATCTTCTTTTGAAAGAAGCAAACGAGTAGGAACGCAACGCTTGCCAATGCGTAAGTGACATAAGCCGCGACCGCGTATGCTTTCTGCTTATCTTTGCTAACTTGAAGCGTCTGCGGGAGAACAAATGTTGTATCGGTCATCTCGGACGAATCGACACCTGCTGTTGCTGTAGCTAAGGCAATCTTTGAAGTAAAAGCCTTTAAATCTGAATTGCCAATGAGACCTCCTTTTGTACTCAGCATCAAAGCAAAAAGAAACAAGAGCACGACAAAACTCCACATCGTGATCCACACAATGGGTCCAGCGCAAAATCTTAAGAGAATTACATATACGAAGGACAAGATGAGTGCAAAAACTCCGCCACAGAGAAGAAAGACTGGCCAGGTATCCTGCAAGTCACCAATGATACGTCCTATGGTGGCACCAATCGTCTGAAGTGTCGAGTAAAGCGGATTCTCCTGTGCTGGCTGCACCGTTTCAGACGTTTTTATTACGTGCTTAACCTCGCACTTGTCATTTGGTATTAAAACACCATTTACATTGTCATAGTACTCTGGCATATCTCCTGGAACCACACACTTCTCCACGGACGTTGTGTTTAATTCGGCACTTTGAAGACAACGATAAAACACTTGCTCGCTTGGCAAGGCTACGAGCCAACAAAGTTTTTTGCTCGGTAAAACTAAAAGACTCGAGGCTCTTTTCTTTCGTTCCTTTTCTCTTTCTTCGTCGGTTAAAAGCGATGAATCGCTTTGAATTTCTGCCTCAATTTCGTCATTGCAAATGTAGGTACCAGATTTCGGACAACTCGCAACACAAAGACCATAGAATGAGAAATCCTTAAATGATAATGATGGGTTTGATGATTGTTCCAACAAGTCCTGAGTGATACGAGGGTAAAAGGTTAAAGGATTATCCTTATGCTTTCCAGTACCACACGTGGTACCGTTATAGTCCGAGCCATAGAGAAGTCGTTTGGGTTCACCGTGCATCAATCCAACAACTGCAATAACTATCATACCAATCCAAAAGATTGCGAATAACAAAGCACAGTAGGTATCACGACACTTTCGAGAGCTTGCAGGAATCACACCGTGAGGCGGCACATTCTTTACTTCGACCTGCTCAGTGCAACAACCCATACTTGCTTAAACTTTTAATGTGTCTGTCGTTTCAAACCGAAATTCCTGTAATTTTATTTTGACTACCCAGGCAACAGTCCATAAACGAAACCATTTTTTTAGTATATTATATCTTTGCAAAGAAGTTTGGTCAGTGAGCTTAAAATAGCTGCGAAAATCAGCACGAAATCAGTATTAAGGCTTGTAACCAGTACTGCTGACGTGAAGCCTTTCAGCATTTCTGCAATATAATCAGCAGCAATGGCTTATTTCCTAAATATCGGAATACTCGACGATGCAATGCTTTGAATTCTTTCGTTTATTTGCCTCACAGATATCAAATGACTGATTCAGTAACATATCAGCGCTTGTTTTATGTGATTGTTATATTGCAAATTAGTTTTTGAATACGAAAGAAATATACTTTTTCATTAAACACGCATTATATGAAAATATCTTAGGCTTCAACTGCGTACATGTCGAGGTTCTTATTTAACCTTTTCGGTTCACTTGCAGACGTATAGTATAAGTCGCAAGAGGAAATTGCTAATGTTATTTCTCTTTACCAAGCCTGAAGCATAGGCTACCATAATCAGGTCAAAGTGTTTAAAAGCAACTGTGCTAACGACGAAAGATCAGTAGAAATCACCGATTGCTGAGCTATATAATGCCAGAATGGGTCAATTAAATTTCAAGATCTCACTATCTGCAATGACTAGTCTTGTTGTGAACTCCAGTCAGGAGTGTGTGGTGAGACTTCATAGACTAGGTTATTTTTCAGCTTTTACTTGATAGAAGTAACTTTGTTAAGCAATCCTCAAGGTGCTCTGGGCATGTTGACCTGATCCAGTTGCACCATTTGCCTACAGGCAATCTCTTGAATCGTGAACAGTGCCATGAAATGTCTCGTTGATGTCACTCGCATAAGCTTGCGATCACGTTGGGCTCAGAGACGGTCGACAATCGAACACCTATGATTGTGACCACGGGCATGTCTACGTGTGCAATGCTTAATCGAACTAATTCGATTAAAATTACTGACAGATCAGGTTCATCGGGATGTTAGAACGCACACTGATCATTTGTAAGTTCTCTCCATGTTCCAAAGCGAGATTGCGCCATCCTGATTCGCTGAGCAGCACAAATGGAGCGTCGGGTGCCAGTCGAGATCGGCTACAGCAGCTTGATTTGGAAGCAAAGTCGAGACTGCATTCTTTTCGCCGTGCTACATACAAGTCACGCAACTATCAGTACCAGCCAATAAAGTTTACGTGCAGGATATACCTTAAAGATTTGAAGACCAGTAGAGTCAGTCACGACAAAATAGTCAGCGGCTTCAAAAAAGCGGATCGTGCTTTCCACTTTTGAAGGAATTGACGACAACGGCTTGTTCATTTCATACGTGCGCGTTAGCGCTGGCTCTACACTTCTACCGCTTCCTTTGACATCACAAGCTGCATCTGGTGACGCCACGGCTACCAATATGGGAGCAATTGACCATTCCATCACCACAGCGCTATCTGCATGAACGCTTAACATTGACTTTTCATCTGGAGACAAGCATATCGCTGCCAAGTTGCCATTACCAAAATATTCTTTGCAGGCAATCAGGTTGTAGCGATAAATTCGCTCAGGATGGATTACATCAATAAACTCAATGTGACCAGTTCGACTCCCAGTAATCAGCACCTTGCCTTGATTACTCCAGGTGATACACGTAATCTGTTTATCCATCATTGACAAATAATTTTGTATCGGTTCATCCATGCCTCCGTGCAGTACCATGACTTGTTGAAACGCGTTGTTTTGAACATCTCGACTTGTAAACAAACAAGCTGCAATCGGCGCATCCCGAGCACAATTAAGCTGTTGAATCTGCAAATTGCTTTCGTATGGCGAACATGAAATAACATGTTGTCCTTCGGCGTCCCACAGCATCGTTTCTCCATGATCAAGAGTGCATGCGAGGAGCTACAATTAAGACACATGCATTTCAACTGTAATGAGTGACCCGATGAAGATAAAAAGACTAAACCAACACACCTGCTTGCTTGGTCCGGGACCCAGCCAATCTAAACTAATTAATTTAGCTGGAAGCTGAATTGTCGACGTGTGTGAAAGTGCTCTCGGATCGGCACTCCAAATGTCAATTCGCATATTTCCGAGTTTTGCAATGGCAAGAAACTGGCCATCGGAGGAAAAACGGCTTCTCGTTGTCGTCGCAGCCTTAGTCGGTTTCCAATCGTTGAGTATTTTGAACTCACGGACCAAAGATGCTGTCGTGTCCATTTCCTTCTTCGACTCACGACAAGTGGTAGACCAAGAAGAAGACTCGGATGGTGTCATATTAGAGTTTAACATTGATAACTTTTCAGCCAATACAGTTGAAGCTGTTGTGATAGGAGAAAACATCGGAGACACCTCAACACTCTCCTCCAAAATGGGTGCCTCAGCAACTTCTCCATCCTCTTCAATTTCTTCGTCGTCACTCAACTCGCCTACAGGAAGATAAACTTCTGCTAATCGGGGGTTATCTCGCGGCAGCACGAGAGGAGCAGGCGAACTGCCTTCGCTACGAATTCCAAAAAGTTCTCCAATCTCCTTCATTTGCTTATTGGAAAGGCCAACACTTGCTGACATCGCACCGTAGCTACGACTGCGACTCCTATTCTTCTGTCTATCACCCGTTCCGTCCCCAAGATTCGTGGTGGTAGTCGAAAAGTGCTCCATAAAGCTATGCTGCACCATGACTCGAAGAATCTCATGCAATTGTCGTCCTGCAGCCTCTAGTTTCCTAATCTTTGCTGTCGCTTCGTTGTTGTATGACCCCAGCCTCGCCGCTTCTGATTGACTGACTTTGAGCCTTAATTTCAACGTCGGTTCTTCTAGTCGAGCGAGCTGAAAAGCCAACAGCTTGGGCAACGGCAAATTCCGAAATACTAGCGACAAAAAGTTACGGAACGACGAGACAAAGGCTTCAAGCCATGACTGGCCAAAGAAAACCTGAAAGTACGCGTCACTTTCTGGATGTTCAATGTACGGCAAGATGAACCATCGGCTCCACGAATGCGCTCCATTGCTTTGCACTGCCACAGATGTATTCAGCTCGTCAGCGTAAAATTGAAAAAACTCAACTGCCTTTTCTCGATGTCCATTTTTAACGGCATTAATCACGTAAAGTCTGAGGAGCGACGTCTCTAGCTGCTGCAGTGTCTGTAAGGTAAAGTCATATAGACAACTTAAACGATTAATTCTCCAATTTAGTATATACATAATGCACTATACCAATGCGTATGATGCGTCCAAATGATTAAAAAATCTGGCCGTTAAGAACTTCCAAGTCTCCAATACTGTTTCAACTTGGTAACTGCGAATAATCACCATATGACATAAAGTTACAGGTCGCAAGATTCGATAATTTAAGTTTTGCGATGACACGTACTTTTGGATAGATTGTAGCAGATGTGAGATGATTTGGTCGACGTCAAAACCCCGCGTGCGATCACGCTTGCGTTCAGCATTAAAGACTTGAAAACTCTAGTAAATATGTTTCAGTTGCTATCTCGCATTCATAAATTCTCGAAGATGAAATTGAGTAGCAAGTACCTTAGTAAAGCCTCTGAAAAGAAGATACTCCATCACGAGTTCGTCCACATGTGGTAGCAAGCTTGACGCCTCCATACTTGCTCCTGCTGCTTTTGCTGTGCGTTGCGGACAACAGAACGATATTGTTAAGTATACCACATGATTATCCTACCACATGGCATATTTATACTGACACCGTTGACATGAAAAAGCATATGCTTGTCGCCTATGAATGCGCCAGTTAAAACTTGAAGTGAAAAGTTGGAAGAAGTGGGCGACCCGGCGGAAAGATGATATCTATCATTGTATAACGACATCATCGGTCATTTAGACACAACGCAAATTGCGGCTTAAAGCGCGGCGTCTTACTCTTTCTACGTTCAGTGTGATGGTTCGACTTCAGTATGTGTTTCTGACTGTCTATATGGGTTTTGAGCGGGCTCGTAGTATTACAGTAGACTTGTTGTCTGCTGCGAAAGAGACTGCTGCTCTCAGGTGTGCAAAAGAGCCGACGCAGCGTGTGGACTGTTACCCACCACGCGCCACATTTCCAGATCCGACGGAGGAACTATGTCTGGCTCAAGGATGTTGCTGGAAAAGTTTGGATAATGAAGGAATTCCTTGTGCTTTTGCAGTTGAAGAACCACCAAAAACCGACAAGTGTGACATTGTGGCCAAATCATCTCGTTTAGCGTGTCGAAACCCACGATTTACAGTAGCTAAAGTACTGGAAGATGCGGATTCGTGTCATCTTGCCGGCTGCTGTTTTGAAGCTGGCGAATGTTTCCAACCAATGAGCGACGGTTATGAGCTACTTACACTGGATGAAACGTCAAATGGCTGGCGTGGTACACTTGCATTGCGACATGGAGGTCGAGGACCATTTGGAAATGATGTTCCTCTTTTAGAGCTTAATGTTGTATGTGAATCGTCAAACCAGGTGCGGATTCGTATTACGGATCCCGCCTTTCCAAGGTATGAAGTACCAGATTTGCCAGTTCGACGTCAAGGTACTCAAAATATCAAAGGGAGCAATTTGAAAGATTCAAGTGACTATGAGGTCCACTTTACTCCTTGGCCGTTCGGAATAGCGGTAACTCGTCGCGGTACAAATGAAGTTATGTTCAATTCAACGCCGCCAATTGAGATACAAGATGAAGGTGCAAGTTTTAATGGCTTGGTGTTTGAAAATCAGTTTCTGGAAATTTCAACCCAATTGTCAACAAGTAAAGATCATGAGCCCGTTTTGTACGGACTTGGAGAGCGACTGGGCCCGACACGTCTTCGTGCGGATAAAAATGGCGATTTGTACTCAATGTTTGCTCGCGCTCCAAACACTACTACCCCGGTGCACACGCGTAGCGGTGGGGACAATTTGTACGGAGTTCATCCGTTTGTACTTCAACTGGGGGGTGGCCAGTCTAGCAAAGCTCACGGGATTTTTATGCTTTCTTCCAACGCGATGGAAGTCGTGGCACGTCAGAGTGCGCTCACGTATCGACTTACCGGTGGCATTCTCGACTTCTTTGTCTTCTCAGGCTCATCTCCACAACAAGTCATAGAGCAGTATACGGCTATTATTGGCCGTCCGGCAATGCCTCCGTATTGGGCCTTGGGATATCATGTCGGCCTTGGTGGAAAAGTTGATGATGCGATAAATGCTGTGGCGCAGCTTCGTATGGCTGGAGTGCCAATGGATGCGTACTGGCAAGACTTCAATTATCTTAGTGATACTGGAAGAGCGTTTTCGCTGGATGAGAACAAATTTCCACATAGTATCCTGCGTGCGTTTATTGATGATTTGCACTTTCACTCGCAGTACTTTTTGTGTGTTCAAGTCCCGGCCATCACTTTGCACAACACGTCAAGTAATATGCAAAGCACTAGCGGCAAAATGGCCAAGTATTACGCTTTAACAAAGGATAATACGTCTCCTTTTCCTCAGACATTTTTCGACTTAAGACATGAAAGTAGCATGGAGGATTCAGCTGTCGGTGGCGATGGTTCTCGAGAAAAGGAACAGGATGTCAGTGGCCATGACGAGGAGAGTCATAGCAAAATATCTGGTCAGGATTCTCGCAGCGATTCAGATGACTATTCTGCAGGCGAGCGCAGTGAAGCTGGTAGTCAACGAGCTCATTCCGAAGAAGACGACGGACTAGACTGGGACCCAGTAGTTCGGGGTGAAGAACTCGATGTTTTTGTAAAGGGGGTGAATGGAGAACGATACGCTCAAAAGGCATTTAGGTCGGGATGGGCTGTATTTGTCGATTTCTTTCACCCTAGGTCTTTGCAATATTGGCATGAGCAACTTGCGAATTTTTACAAATATGTCATGCCTTTCGATGGGCTGTGGTTGGACATGAATGAGCCGAGTAGTTCTTGTGATTGCACTTTGGCAGCTGAAGACGACATGTGCACTCGTATTTGTATCGAGCGCCACTTAACCGTTGCATCTCGCCAAGATGAAAAAGGTGAGCCAGAGCAATTTACTGTGCCGGATGACGGTGGGTTTATTCGAACAAGTGACGTAAACTTTCCATTTGATCCATATCGCCAGCCCTTCGTGCCGGGTCAGAATGAAGTTAACTCTGGAGGCCACGGCAATTTGAATTCGGCCACGCTACCGATGGCGGCACTGCACTATTCATCGTTGCACTACAATCTTCATTCACTGTACGGTCATGCCCAAGCTCGAGCTACACGAATGGCCTTGGATGCGATCGTCAAAAAACGAAGTGTGCTGCTTTCTCGCGCAACTTTTTCCGGCACGGGACAATACGCGGGTCACTGGTTGAGTGATAGCGGTGAGGCATCGTGGGATCAGCTTCGTTTGTCCATTTCAGGAACGCTTAAGATGAATTTACTTGGAATTCCTTTATCAGGGCCCAATGTATGTGGCTCGCGGGGTAAATCTTCGACAGAACTTTGTGTGCGGTGGCATCAAGCTGCGTCACTTCTACCTCTGCTTCGCAATCATGCGATCAGTGGCGAAAGCAAGCAAACTCCTGTCGACTATGATGCGGAGGCTTTGAATATATTACGCTCGACGCTACTACAACGATACCGCTTTTTGCCGTACATGTATACACTCTTCTATGAGGCTCATCGTTCGGGAAACCCTGTTGTTCGACCGCTATCGTTCGAATTCCCTAGTGACAAAAATGCTCGAGATATTGAGCATCAATATCTGGTCGGTTCAGCTTTGATGGTATCGCCGGTAGTACATGAAGGAGCAATTTCTGTCGAGGTTTATTTTCCGAATGCTTGCTGGTTCGATGCTCAAAGTGGAAAGTTAGCGCTGGATCCTGCAATAAAAAATAATCAACGTGTAAGTCTACTGACTCCATTGTCGAAACTTCAAGTCCATCTTCGTGGGGGCACTATTGTTCCAACGCAGCAATCGCTAACAACAACTGCTCTGTCTCGACGTGAAGGCTTTACGCTTTTGGCCGCATTGACTCTTTCACAAGACAATTCGTCAGCATTTGGAGAATTGTACGTAGATGATGGAGACTCGTTATCAGCAATAGAAGATCAACGCTACTCATTGATGCACTTTACTGTCCATCAGAATTCGAAAGATTCTGTCGAATTTAAAAGTACTGTCAACATTCATGGATATGATGGACCGGAGATGCATGCCGACTTAAAAGAGATTCGATTATTTGGTGTACGCGGCGATGGTTTTGCAGCTAACTCATCCATGGATGTCACTTTGGTATCAAAACAAGGTGCAACCTCCCAGTCGTCTATCAAGGCTGATTTTTTTGCGCAGTCCGAGATGCTGGTTCTGTCGCGTTTTGATTTGACTATCGGGCAAGAATTTCAAGTCAAAGTGGTAGCACAACCAGCTGCAACACCCGAAGGTGGACAGGAGGAAGCAGGTAGCAAATCTGTTGGAGCAAACGCTTCAGGGAATTCCGAGAGTGGAGAAGAGAGTGGTAAAGGTGAAGGCAAGAAATCTATCAAGAAGTCAAAGTTTTCGATCACTAGTATCGTTGGTATCGTTGCGGGCTGTGTATTCTTAGCTATCATTTTAATTCTTTTGTTTCGTCGTCGTCATCGAGGATATGAGACGATATGACATGCACACGTAATACCACGACACAGACAAATATTCGTGTTTAATCATAGTTGAGTCAATAAAAAGCCCTTTCGAATTCCTTTTTTGTTTTTAGCGCAATGTGCATGTAGAGATAGATATAAGCGAGAAGTTGCTGATTCAATATTGGAGATTGAGCCTTTGCGTATTGGCTCTGGTAGCTAGTTACTTTGTTCTATTGAAATTAATCAAATCTATCACATCATGTTAGCACAAATAAAAATACCATCAGCACATAAGCTTGGACAAAACAAATCACTCCAATGGTTTATGGAATTATGTTTGTTCGCGCTATTACAATAGATATAGGGACCATAGAAACTTAAACATATTTGCCACTACACCTGTTGTAGTTATTTGCCACCGCAGACGATGAAGTTGCGTCTGTTAAATGGAAAGATTTGGTATAATGACGCTTACGACATCATTTCTATGTTGAAGTGCCTTGCTTCACTTAAGTTCTTGTACGTCTGCTTACTATTTTTATGCTCCTGTCTTACCGTCGGTTTTATTGAATCAAAGTGGCTGCAATAGAAATGACAAAGGAAGGAGTTGGAGGTGTCTTTGGGAAGAAGACTAGACTACAAAAAAGTAACTCGATTGTTTCGGAAAGACTAGAAGTAGATGCTCGTGCTATGGAGGAGAGATTGATGCAGCTTCGGGTGGCATTGCAAGAGGAAAAGAAGAAGCGAATAGCAGCATTTCCACTTCAGCATACAGGAAGTCGATGGCGTAGTGCTCGAGAAGATCGAGGCAGTGTCCGGCAGTACGCTCGAGATGTTGAGCTTAAGACTTTTAAAAAAAAGGAAGGAGCTAGGATTGGAACAAAGAAGAAGAACAAAAGTTTGGCTTACAAGAGACATTTGATCACTTCTCCATCTTCTTTTGAGGATTGGACTGTGCCTCAAGTACTTGAGTGGTTAAAATCTATTGGTTTGGAGGAACTTCAAAGTGGATTCGAGTATCATCAAGTTACAGGGAGAATATTGTTGGACTTCTCACCTAAAGAATATGAAAAACTTGGCGTATTCAGTGTGTCGGCTCGTAATAGATTAGTGACCGAGATGGATCATATTCGAGCTCAGCAGGTGTCGAAAAGAATGAAAGACAAAGAAGACTCCGAAATAGTTGACAGTATCAATTCTGCAGTACCGAAAGCTCGAGATGTTTCAGGCAAACTTACACATTGGTCTCAGATAGCTCCACTTGCAGATAATGTCGTTACGGGTGAAGACATACAGGCTCCAGTAAATCTAGCCGATGGAGATTTTCAAGAAGAAGCAAGTCATGCTTCTTTTTTAGAAGCACTTTTAGAGTGGAGGGAGAACGACACGAAACAGTTAGCGACTTCAAATCAAGAAGAGTTAGATGAGTGGATTAATCCGATGTTTAACTGTAAAACGAAAGGCACATGTGGAGGTGCTTTGCTCGAAGGTTCATATGATGAAGCGGATGCACATGATACATTTCAAGAAGCGCTTCAGGCTTGGCGATCCAGAAATGATGCTAAAGTAATTTCTGTGGAAAAAATTGAAAGTAGCTGCACTCCTGGCGACCAACAATGTTGCTGGCAGTGTTATCGTATTCTGCAGATAGAGCAATTGCTCCACGATGATTTGACAAATAAATCATTCTGTAGCTCGACGTGTCAAGAGAACTATAATGCTCAATACGGTCGATTATATACGAAGTCCGTTTGAGATCTTGACTGATACAGTGGCCTAGCATACGTCTGCTTACGACTGCACAAGATGGATATACAATGTACATGGCCTGATTTATGTTTCGAGCAAGGTTCTCAATCAGTTCAATCTTGCCAATTTTTGACATGTATTTAATGACAGAAACATCAATGCAACGATTATTTGCTGTGAACGCATTATATCATTGACTTCAAAAACATACTCTTGCTTGCTTGGTAATCAGTTTAAATGTTCGGCTTTCTCTTCTATTGACAAGATTCTTTGCGCAACCGGATACAATTCTGTACGCGCTCACACGTTTCATCAATAGCTGTTTGAGCTTCCGGTACCAAATCTCCGTATATAAGAAAACCATGCGAAAGCCCTGAGTAAATTTTTAATGATGACGGCACTTTCAGATATGAAAGTCGCGTATAAAAGTCGACGCTGTCGTCCAGAAGTGGATCGAGATCGCCAACCACAAGTGACGTTGGTGGGAATTTCTCAAGTAAGGAGTCTTCTGCCAATCCAGGGGATACGCACGGGTCGTGAATGTTGTGCTTGTATTGATTCGAATGGCCGTGTGAAGGGTAGTATGTTGTAAGTGCCAATTCGAGAATACCACGTGGTAGTACAGGGTCGTTCTGGTGGATAAATCGTGATGGCGATGGGGACAAGTGTAAATTCAAAGCTGGAAACATAAAGACGTTTCCACTGGGTAGTTCGACACCGTCCTGAATGCAGCGAATACAAAGCGCAGCTCCCATGTTTGCACCTGTAACAAACATTGATTCCTTGTAAGCAAACTTAAGCTACCTGATCAAATACAAACGTACCAGCACTTTCACCAAACAATGCAATCTTGCTAGGAGAGAATCCCAATCCACCGCTAAGAATCCATTTATATACAATGTAACATTGGTCTAAGGAGCCTGGGTAGTGCATTTCTGGAGCGAGCCCGTAATCTTCAAAGACAATTAGACAGTCGCAAACGATAAATGAAACTTATCAAGGATAACTTACCCACGTAAACGATTACTGCACCCAACACACAAGCCCAATTTGTTAAGTTGTAAAAGTCTTTTGCAATGAATCGTCCAAAAAAACCTCCACCGTGTATATAGAGAAGAACAGGGCGCGTTGATGGCAAGCCGCATGCAATCATTCGCGTGGTTAAAGGCGTGCAAGCATTCATCCAAGTTCCAGCCTTTACAGAATCCATTGGACGTACACTGAAAAGATAAAGACCAATATCTGACGAATTATTGCGCTCCTTGCTGAGGCTAGATCCATCTGCTGTAAGAAACTGCTCCTCAAAGACAGGGATTTTCGGACGCTGAAAGCTTGTGATCAATCGAACAAGTCTAGACTCCCCAAACACTTGCCAGCCCATGCGAATTACGTCTACATTTGGATGGTCTATAAGTATTCGGGTTGTGTATCGAGCTGCTTTAGCGTTACGAATTGCGTAATACGGAATAGCCATCACAAGCAATGGGGGACCAAGAAACTTCAGCAGAAGCTTATTACGCTGTCCTATAATGGAATGGGCAAAAGCACTAGAGGCAATTAAAACATTCGTGCCGATCTTAAAAGCAGTAAATCCCCATGGTTCTGACGACCAATCATAGTATTCAGCAGGTAGCGGCACTCTTTCAACTAATAATGTTGTAGCATTCTTCAAATCGTCGTCAATATCTGCTTCCATTGGATTATCAATCAATAAACGATGATCTGACGCGTTACTAATCGGCCTTGCACGCTGTAGCACATGTTGACAGAGCAAAAACAATCGTAACGCCATTAATACCCGAGCGTGGTGTACTTTGATGCGTCGAAGATTGGAAAATCGATACATGGCTCGATTCCAGTAATCTGCTGCCACTAGAAGTACAATTCCCCACTTGATCATTTGCCTTGTCGGCAATACTTGCAGTAGAAATTGCTTAAATGACGTACGAATGCGAAAGCGTTTGTATAAAAACATAAACGTTATTGCAAGTACTATGGACGTTCTCGACCATCGATTTTCACGATCTGGATTATATCCGGATTGTAGCTCTTCAAGCACCTGTCGCGTCTCTTCTAGCGACTTGGTAGCATGCCGCAAAAGCGACGCAATGCCTCCTGATAAAATTGTATATCGTTCATCCGTATGAATTAATGGAATAATATCTTTTAATGCCGTTTTTGTTCGAAAGTCAACAGATGGCCGACTGGTATAATGTTTGGAAGCCATGACGATCTCTTCCTTAATAAAAGTATAGAGGACACGTTCAAAGGATGCGACAGTTAGCGACAAGTGTTGCAATTCCCGTCCCATGCGACCGTAAGCATATTCGCGAATGATTCGACGTAGTACTTGAATACACGATAGCACAGCTGTGCTTGTACCCAGTAGCGTCTCATAACCGCGAATACGCAGCTCACCCTCTTCCGTTGTTTCATTCACATCCTCTTGCACACATTGATTGATAAATCCCATAAGCTGCACAGAGCTTTGGCTCCGCAGATTATCGCGAAACGGACCGGAGCTGCTCATGATGGACGAACGAAGAGTTGTGACGACAGAATTCTGAGATCAAGTATTAACCAATCATCGTTCACGACACTTCAAGTTAATCATTTGCTACAGATATAGTCAAAATGGTTTATCGGAACAGTGGAAAACGAGAAATGGCTGCTAGACCAGTAACAAGTCACCGAAAGGCGAAAAGCATGTCGTTACCAATACAATTGAGACCACAATCTGCTGCAGGGATTTTGACAGCACTCGAATTGACATCTCGCGACATTTTGGCTGGAACAAATGGGGAACAAGTTGGAGCAACAAGTAACGAATTGATTCGTAATCTCGAGCAAAAGGTGCGAAAAATTGTCGAGTTAAAGCGAGTTAAAAGCGATAAATTGCGTTTTGAAGTATTGAAGAAACGTGAGGAAGTTGAAAAGGCAAAGCTAGTGCTGCAGGATTTAATTAAAGATAGTAAAGCGCTTGGTTTACACTACACTCCTAGCAATAATGGAAGTGAAGACGGAACTGGTGAGATGGCACTCAATGACAGAATTGTTGAAGAAGCTAATCGTTTACAGCCGATTACTGCTATTTCACGACGACCATTTTACTCTAAACATACAAAGATCAATGAACTGGAAGCGAAATTACAGAAACAGGCACAAGCTTCTCATGAAATTCTGCGCAGTACGATGGTCCTTGAGCACATTAAAAAGCGTCTCCTGATTGAACGCAATCAAGTGACACAAGATACGAATGAATTAAAGACACGATATACAGCTTTGAACCATCAGACCTTGGAGCTACAGAAAAAAGAACTAAGTGCGAGCGAAGCTGTAAGTCAGATACAGACGAGACTAGCACAACAAAAGGCTAAAATGGCTGCGAACATGCGCAAGCATAAGCGTGAAGTTGATTTGCGACACAAGTGGTCACGTGAAAAGGCGAAGTTTGAAAAGTATTACAACAATCAAATGCAAGCACTACTTGACACCGAAGCTACAACAACGAACTCAGACGAAGCAGTTGAGATTGCAGGTGCGATTACCGAGCCGTTATATGATCATCCAAGCTATACATCCAGTATGTCTCGGACGTCTGTTGCTGCTCGTCATGATGCTAAAATGCCCATTTGTACAGACTCGGTGCAGAAAATACGCAGAGATAGCGCGAGTACAATTGATACGCCCGAAGAGATGGAATCAGAGGAGATGTATCGCAAGGTATTTCTACGGATGGGATTTGGTCACGATAGCGCAGGTGTTGACCCGAACGAAGTTATCCAAATGTGGCATTCCCAAGAGGAAATTATCAAAGAACTTGATGCTAAACATGATGAAGATATGGGGCGAATCGCAGTTCTGCGAGACCAACTTGTAACGATTATTACTCGTCTTGAGTACTTTTTGCTGCTACAATGACATTATTTTTTGTACTTGTAGGTAAGGTCAAAAAATGCTGCCCTCGAGATAGCTCCATTGTCCAAACGGGATAATACACAGCGACTTGAGACTAAAGAAATCGAGATTTCTAGTGCGAGACGTGCTCTGGCTACTGTTGTGGATCAATATATGTTTGTGGATCGAAGTGTGCGTCCACTAAAGGTTTGTGAAGCTGCTTACTAGAAGGAAAGTGATTAGAACACTAAAATTACAGCTTGAATGTTGTGCCTCTAGATTGGATTACAACAAATCTTGCAAAATGTTACAAACATAACTGTAAATATCGATGATATGAAAGGCATCGAACATGCGCTTTTTAAATCGATTGAAGAAATGATGAAACTTGCGCGTCAGGCACGATATGATTCTACCAGCCTGTCGAGCACTTTCGCTACCGAAGATGCCCATTTTGAAACTTCTATATTCGCAAAAGAGGAAAACGCAACGGAAACAGTAGAGAAAACTGCAAAAGTGAGTGAGATAGCCGCTAACTTTGCTACTTTACCGTTCAACATTCGAATTCCGCCGATGTCGAAGGAAGCGAGCTTTATTCTTGATGTAAATGAAACACGAAAGGATCCTGTTTCTTCTAAAGGTAAGAAACCGAATGAAAAGTGTTAGACGATGTCAATATTTTAACATTTTTTAGCAACAGAAGTGGAAGAGGCGGACAGCGACGTCATGGACCGATCAGCTTTAAAACGCATTTCATCCGTATTAGTTTGCTCAAGCACAGAAAAAAACAGTTTGAGAGCTGAGAAGCATGCAAAATAATTTTCACAGGGAAAGCTAGCAGTGTAAAAGTTTACGTTTAAAATATTCGCCTCCACCAAATATACGCCAAGCTCCTATAGTTTTGATCACGTAACGAGTCAAATGCTAAGAAGGAGCAACCTAAGTACTCAGTTGCCATTTTTGAAGTTGGCATCATGCTACAAACATCCTTCTTGAGTAAGCAACACTCAAATGAACCACATCCGTACGTTCATAATAGCACCCTTAGAACTATCCTAAACAAGAGAGTATTTCGTATAGGCTGCTCTCTGTTCGTCTCAATTTTGACTGGAATCGGCGAATATCATTTAGTTTCACGCATTCAGGGTCTTTAAGCGATACTTTGGTGCTTATGAATATACACAGCTACGCACATATACCAAAATGTTTCGATTTTCAGCCATAGCGTCACGCACTTGACGCTCGGTACCTTTGAATAAAGAGCATTGATCTTGCGACAGAGTTCTGTCGAAGTAGTGTCAGCAGGCCGCTTAGTATCGACTGCTCCACTTCAAGGATTGTGGAATTAATACCACGGTGCGTCAAACCAATGTAAACCTTTTGAAGGGCTTCCGATAGGTCCAAAAAGTGCTACAGCGTATCTGATGGAACCAGACACATCTGTTTAACGCGACGGCAATCGTTCACGAGCTCAAACGTTCGTCACGTTGTCAGCAGCTGAGATATCAAGTCACATCTGTTTGTGGCGCTTCCAAAAAGTGCGACAGCGTATCCGATAGAATCTGACACATCCGTTTGACGCGACAACAACCGTTAACGCTCGCAAACGTTCGTCACGATGTCAGCAGCTAAGATATCAAGTCACATATGTTTGTGGTACGGATAATCTTGACGACTCCCGTAGAGGACCAATATGGACCACTAAATCCGATTGCTGATTAAAGCCTGCCACGCGGGATCAATCCCCCGCCAATTCTGCTTGATATGCACAATTCAAGTGGCTTGGCACGACCGCGTGATTGCATTTGAGTCTCACTAGTTACCTTGTTCATGACAAGGAGCAGTAAAGCGTGCCCTCGTCAAGTTTAGAGTGCATCTGTTTGTATCTAAACCGTTATGTTTAATCCAGATCACACGTCGTTGCCTGCAGCGACGACGTCGCCGCATCTCTCACAGCAAATGACAAAATTATTCATTTATTATCCTTTTTACCGAGAACTTGTGTCACTGTGCCGTGGGTCCCTGTTAACCTCGGTGTCAAGTTCCATGACTTTGATAGCGTGGAACGACCTAATCTTGGTATGGCATGGTTGGAACACCGTGAGCCATGGATTGATTGGAGGTCGAAGACCTTCTGCGATACGCGCACGTTATAAGAGTTAATGATTTTGCAATTGCTCGACACAAATCAACCTACATCCGACGCTTCAAGTGGTTATCAGCCAGGCGAATTGAGTCGTCACAATAGACAATGAATCATTTGATATCTCAACTACTTTTTGTGTTCGCTTTTGTTGTGGACGTAACAGCTGTAGCTTCTAAAGGCACTCATAAAAATATATCTAAACGCAAGCAAAAAGATTTGAAGTGTGAAGGATCTAGTATCGCAAGATAAGTCTTAGTTGCATACTTCCAATATTGTCTTCCTGGTAAGGTCTGTTTCTAGCATGATTTCTTGAGCATTCTTACCTTGTGATTTGAGCCTTCATTTGTCAGATAATACGTTACGTGCGACAAGTATACCTCTTGTGTCTTTGTGGTGGTTACAATATGAAATTTCTGTAGATTCTGAAGTTTTCAGCTCCGTGACTCATTTTGCGTTAATGTGCACACCTGAGTAGCCCCCTGCTGTATAATATTCTTGTGTGCTTGGCTCTGACAGACTCTCCTAAAAATGATCTTTTAGCTGATATATCGGGATTTTACAAAGACACCCATGTTGGAATATACGCTTGCATCGTTTGCTTTGTGTCGGTCTTTGATCTTTGCTGTCTGCCCACAGTGAGTTTAAATCTCACGTGCTATGAGCAACGAAATGACAGGGCACATATCGAAATTGTCACGAGAATCCAACAATTTGTAACTGGTCAAGGCTTTTTTTGGGCGTCGTTTTGTTGCAACAGGAGAACATTGTACGGCACCGGTCGTTTGAATCTGTGAATAATGGTCACTTTGATAAGCCATTTACCGGCCTTGTTGTATATCGGAAATTAAGTTTCGTCAAGTCATTTAACAACATTTACCAGCAACTCTTCGGGTCTCAATGAGCCGTGTATCCGGTTTCGTATCACTCAGAGATCAAATGCGTTCGGCTTTAGAATTATGGGGCACCAGAGTCGATCAATGTTAAAACCACGGGCTGTACATCACGGAAATCAACTTTGTCTCTGAAAGGCTTTAAAAACACGTATGCTTTCAACCGGCAATTTTTGTGACACTGCTCAAGAAAGGTTCTGACCGCCTTTGTCGAAGGACCAATTAAAAACTAAGACTTGCAGTCTCCGGACCCAATGGAGTATTTTCCGATATCCAAGTTGGCTTTGGGATAGAAGCAGTCACTAAGCTTTCTGCACGATCATGGAATGTTCGCTGTACAGTAGTTCCGTCAATGTTCTCCTTCTATATGGCACCGTCTTTGTTAATTGTCGCCACCTTCCTAACGTATGAGAAGGCCTGCATAATATTTGTACAGTCATAAGTATATCGACTAGACCAAAAATCCTCTACCACTCGCACCCTCATCGTTTATGCTTTGGGATACAGAAAAGTTTTGAATCAGCGACAGCTTGTTATTGTCTTGATTTAGCACAGATTTAGAAATGATAACAAAGGCTACCAAACCTATATTAATTCCTCCAAAAACTTATTTGTCCATGTCGCTTGGTACTTTCATTTTCCCTTGGGAAGAGGACTGTAACGAACTTCTCTAATATCTGAAGCTTGATTACGCAGTTTTCAGGTTCAGTGTGGCATTCCCCCTTATCCCTATCTATGATGTACATACAGAACAGATCGTACAGGGTTGTTTGGCATTAGACGAAGACATACCTTAAAAAAAAACATACACTGGTACGATATGTCAGTCAGACCAAAAGTAAGATCAACTCTTGCCAGAATTGCCAAACATCATGCTGTTGTTTAAATTGCAAAGCTTCTGACAATAATCGATCAATAAGAAGCGCATTTGATGTCAAAAATATTCATTTTATTAGTAGTAGTATTGATAGCAACATACAAGTTAAGTCATGCATTTCGCATCTATTTGACCGTCACTGGAACTGGCTGTCGTCTACCACACACAGCCGAAGGAGAGCGAGGAGCACGAGCATCAAGTATAACACCGTCGCGGTCAATTGTCTTTGTCGACGTCTATTCTGAACTTCTCACTGAAGTGATTTTTTTGGACTTGTTCGCGGCTCGAAAGAAATAGTTTTTGTTTTGTCAGGTTTCTGCAAACGAAGACCCTTCCGAAATTCTTTACCATCAGTAACAATGATAAAAGTAACAGCGAGGATACAAGCGAAGATGGCGTAAGAAAATTGCATTGTCCAAAGTCTGTATAAGTTGGAGCTGGAAGAATGCAGAATGAAGTATTGGGCTCAGGAAATCAGTTATTTGGTTCCCTGGTGAATGTGTCATTTGTGCTATACTGCCTCGTTTATTCGAAAAAAAGAATGCGATAGTACGTGAATGTAATTTAGGTTATCCCGAATTTGCCAAAGTAATTAATCTTCACCGACAGGAAAGACTGTTAGCGATACAAACGGCAGAAAATTTGCAAGCATTACTAGGGCAATCCATCTATACTTATCACAGAGACCACACAAGATTCATGTTAAACATATAGTGCAAATACATACACAGTAACTCACGCATCTGTTCCCAAGCCAACAGGAAATATTATAATGCATGTAGTTAGTAGTCTTCAAAGTACGCTACAATATCTGATGGTATAAGAGCAAAGCCTTCATTTCTTCTCTTCACAACTTGATGAGCAGGTAGAAGCCCTCAAATCAAGTTGTGTGCATTGCCTACGTTCGATGGCGAACTGATGATTCGCATCCTTAAGATTCATTTTAAACATACTTTCTCTTATAATAGGGAAACGCTCGACATAAGCAAAGCATTTGTCATGTCAGGTGCGTCGCGTCAAGAAAAAAAGTACAATTCAAATCATCGTTAGAATCGCCGATTCCTTATGGCTTGCGCCTGACACTTCTATTTTTCTTGTAATATAAAAATGCTGGAATCTATATTGAACAATAAGCGCCCAACCCTGTTGATGTCACGACTTGGCGTTTGAGAAGCGATGGTAAATAGATTCCAAAAGCAAAGAAGCAACGTTGTTTTTTTGTTGATTCGTTGTTAAAACCAAAGTATTTGAAAACGAGCATTGGATTCCTTCGTACATTGTCGTGATGACGTCTAACTTTTCTGCTATCCCTGGGTCCTACTCAGTTAGTAAACATAAAACGGATGTGAGGATGTGAGCTCTGGATAGAGGTCCCACAGTGATTTTGAATATTGTTCAATGAAACTTGTCAACTAAAGAATTTATACTCTCAAACGAGATAGTGGAACTACCATGCCATGACAGCTAGAAATATCCGAGTGTAGGCAAATATAAATCTTATGCATGTAAAAGACAGCTACAGCTGTGACATCGCTCTTTAACAGTATGTAGCGGCATCATCTCAATGCATTTTATTTATAATAAAAAGGTTGAAGCGACCGAGGTCTCAGAAAGTGTCTAGAACTGGACTGGTAAATTCTCGGAGGAAAGAGTCGGTTCTGAAAATTTCCCGATCCTCATTACTCATTCTAATATTCGCTTAATCGCTTGATGAAGGCGTGTTGGCCACGATCACAAGCTTTTGTCGTTGAATCAAAGCAACGATCTTGTTTGCGATTGAGGATTTGATTCCATCAAAGGTCACAAGTTAATTAAACAATATTTAGAATTATTGTGGGAGGGTTCACATCGCCACATCCTTTTGATGTATACTGACCGAGTAAGACCCAGTGATAGCATACGAATTTGACGTGATCACGAAGGAACACAAAGTTCGTTTTCAAATACTTTGGTTTTAACAACGAATCAACAAAAAAACAACGCTGCTTCTTTGCTTTTGGAATCTATTTACCAAAACTTCTCAAATACCAAGTCGTGACATCAACAGGGTTGAACGCTTATTGTCTAATACAGCCTTCAACTTTTTTATAATACTAAAAAATAGAAGTGCCAGGTGCAAGCCATAAGGATTCTGCGATTCTAACGATGATTTGAATTGTACTTTTTTTCTTGAGCGTTTCCCTATTATAAGAGAAAGTATATTTGAAATGTATCTTAAGGATGCGAATCATCAGTTCGCAATCGAACGTAGGCAATGCACGCAACTTGTTTTGAGGGCTTTTACCTGATCATCAAGTTGTGAAGAGAAGAAACGAAGGCTTTGCTCTTATACCATCAGTTATTGTAGCGTACTTTGAAGCCTACTAACTACATGCATTATAATATTTCCTGTTGGCTTGGGAACAGATGCGTGAGTTA